CCCCCTGCTCACATGTCATAGCGTGGAATGTTATTTTGAATCTCCCTGTTCACAGCTAGCCACTCATTTTTGCATTTTATCGGTTGAATTTACTCATTTCGAAGGTTTACTGGTCGAATTCTTTCAGATGAAGTCAATTTTCCTAACAGTCAGTTTGCTAGCAATTGCTGCAGTCACATTCGCAGAAGAGGTGACAGAGAAAAAGGTATGATTCGGAACTGCTCGATAACCCTACAGAGCCACAAAGGAGTTAGTGAAGTTGTGATTCTTCAGAAGGAACTCAGCGAAACTGGAGTGACTGTGCTTGAGAAACTACGTGAGCTTCGAAAAGAGCAGGAGGAACTGATCGCCAAGATCGAGAGCGATACCGATAGAGAACTTGTGAGTAAAGCCTTGGTTCACCTTTATAACCAGTGAATTATTTCTTGAGGATTTTCTTAAGAACAACTTCTAGATCACCAGCGTTTTCAAGAAGGAACTCGAAACGGCCGATGAAACCGAAGTGGCCGCAACCCGAGTGAAGAGAGCCTCTGCTAGACGTCGTGCTAACAGACGCGCCAACCGCAGAGTAAGTTGAAAAGCCTTTCGTGACTGATCTTGCCACAGCTAACTGTCACATTTCAGCGTTTCGCTCGCCGCCTTCGTCGCAACCAGCGCCGTGCCGCCCAGAAACGCCGCGCACACGCTCGCCGTCATCAGAGAAATCTCCGCCGCGCCGCCAGGAAGATCCGTCGTATCCAACGCCGCGGATAGATCAAAATCAGATCTACTTATTTATTGAATAAATATTCTATTGACTAATTAATAGAATATTGAGTAAATAAATATTCTTTGATCGTGAAATCGTTGTTCATTTTGCACTGGTTAGGGAGCGGTCTGCTGGTGAGATAGGGCTATTAGCTCATATGGTAAACCGGGGCTTTTACATTTTTGAAGAAAGCGCTCCGGCTATCCGCGCTGAATAAAGAACACTCAATCAAAAAAGCGAGCTTGCCCCCCTCCTCTCCCCGCCCTCCCCGCGTACGCATCAACCACCTATGTTGGGTCTCATTCTACGCGTAAACCTCTGCGCTGTAGCCCCCTATTGATGGCATAAAAACCTCTTTTCTCCTTCGACATGATAGACACCGATGCAATAAAGGTGCCGAGTCAGGAGTTCACGTCGTAGTGGAGCTGCGGAAGCGGCAGTCGCGCGCTCCGCGTAACCACCATATGGTAGGGAGAGGTGCATCTATCTACGGTAAGGAAAATGCCCCAAAAGAGAGGTTCTCACTGTGATAACTCGCACTACTTACTCTTCAATTCCAGCTTCCCATAAAATCCATGAGTTGTCTTTAATATCCCTGAAATTTCAACTAAAAGAGCAATTAAAGGCAAACTCCGGGATTGAACTGGTGCTATCAGCGCTCTGTAGTGATAGCTTAGCTGCGGAACGACCTGAAAGTGGAAAGGAAAGCAAGAGAAATCTTTGGGAACGCTGAAGGGTCGGATGTGGTACGATGGCGAGAAAGGGCGGTCAAAGAAGACAAAATACGCGAGAGAGCACGTCGTTTGAGAGAGCACGCTGATCTCACCATCGCGGTGGGTGGGAAGCGTTGCAACGGGGGTCGATGGTTGCAGGCCCGTAAGGATTAGCGCCCTAACCGCGCAATTTTTGCGACGAAGCTGGAGTGATCTAGGTAGGTACAGACCTTACAATTTCCCTCGTGGTATCCTCCTACTAGTCGGGTCACTGCCTTTGAATAAATAGGCATTTGTGAAGTTTCTGAATTCGTGTCGTCATGTCAGCGGTATTGGATGTGCTCAACCAGCCTGATTGTTGAATGCTAGGTTAATGCATTGGGCTGAAACCAGAGTAATAATGGTCGAGGAAACTCCGACCATGGCTCTATACTGTGGGAGAGTAGTGTCGAGAGTGAATGTACGCGCGGAGAGCACAGACGGCTCGCGCGTGGCGAGAGTGAATGTCCGCGCGGGAGAGAAAACTGAACAGGCGAAAATCCTCGACGAGCCGTCGACAAATCCTCGACCGATTTTTAGCCTGGCCGGAACCATTAGGTGAGATATGCAACGCCGCCCTCCTGACCGATGCCTGCTATGTGTGGACTAGACGCGACGTGCCCGCGCACAACTATTGACGCCAATCGTTAGTGATTCAACCAAAATATACAAAAAACAGGGTGGTAGGCGGTCACATACCCTCGTTTCATCGCGACATGTCGGGGATGCATGCCTGAAACGAAAAACATCCTGGAATTCGGTCATGAATGTCGCCGTCGTCAAGTGGACGACCTTGACTATGAACGACTATGTTTTCCAGAGAAAATGTGGAACCGTGGAACGCGTTATATGTAGGGGCAATTTCTACAT